TTAATCTTTTAATGGGCTTTTTAATCTTTAATGGGTATAATCCCATACTGGGATTATACCCATAGCAACCGCCACAGTGGTACATTACCGGTATCTGTCATAATTCAAATTGTAGCACATACGTTAACGACTTGCTCTTCTGTTTTCTTTTCACTGGCTTCTGATTTCTCATGTTGACCGGGTCCACTTTTCGTTTTCACCTCCTCTGATTTCCAACTGTAATCATGGAGTGAAGTTGGGTGTTTTTTATTACAAATCTGACAGGTTCTTTTACCTTTTCAAAGGTTGGCAATGTGTTCAGAACTATAGCAACCAAAGCATGAGCCTTTCTGTTTGATTAAGTCTCTCCGCTCCACTAGCGGTTTCTTAAGAAACTCAGCACATTCGTCCAGGTGATGCGCCTGAGAGCACAGCGTACAGCAGATGGGGTGAGAGTTTCGTCCACCGCCATTCTTTACTGACTAGCCTGTTGTGAAATTGGTACCTCTTCCTCTCTTAGTTTTACGTTCGTTATGTTTATGGTACTTTTCAACTGCGTCCATCGGTTTACTAATGCCCTCTTCCGTGTAGATCGGGTCTGTCGCTAAATCGGCTTGCTCTGATACGAATTGGCAAAAGTCATCAAAGGTGGCTGTCTGTCCCCTGACACTCCTAATCTTGCAAACTCTTTCAGTCCACTTACTACGTAGATATCGCAGCAGCTTTTCCCATAACTGGCGCATAACATTAGCCGTGTTCAAGTCGTTCATGTATTGCATACCAGTCAGGGCGTTCCTTGCTTCCTCAAGGACAATGAAAAATTCATGTAACCCAGTTCCGTCGTTAGTTTTTTATACAAATTAAAACTGAAGTGAACTAAAATTTGGGCTCTAGAGGGGGTCTCAGCTCATAGCCAAAAGGTTTGAAAAAATTTTTTCCAGCGCACAGAAACTCTACTAAATTAGGATGTATTAACTTATAAGCCAAGCTAAAGTAAAGAAACACAATATACAATCATTGTTTTGGTGGGTAGGCTGACGAAATGGCGGCACTTCATTCTAGTCTTGTCCTTATACTCTTTTTCTTTAATGATTAGGTTCATCTGCTTAGTTGAATTAGTAAGCGCAGTTTTCCAATTTTCCTTCAACTTTTGAATCTCAAATTTGCTACCCTTGTCTGTAGGAGTCCTCGTAAGTTTCTTGAGCAAATGTTCCGGACAGCGGCGATATCAAACGAGGAGACAAGCAGATTGTATCGAGATCCATATCGACCTCGCGCCAAGTGCAAGGCTCTTTCTTCAACGGGGACCTCCGTTTTTCTTTGTAAATCATCTTCCTTGTCTTCTTCCATGTGATTCGCCATGGGTCAAACTGTAACAGCCGTCAGTTCAGCGTTAATTCCACGTTTTATTCAATCGATCAACTACGCTAAGCATTCTGTTCGAATACAATACCGTATGAGAAATCCATACAAACAAGAAAGTGTCCTTGTCTGTAACCTTGAACATTGCTACAATATCCGTAATGGTTCCGTAATGTTCTATTCCTTCGATGTGAAGGAATTTTTTTTCAAAATTTTCGCAAAATTTTACTTTCTCTGAGAAGTTCTAGGCGTAAAAAACTACTTTCACATTGGCAATGATATTCGTAAACTTTTTGCTATAGAAAAATACTTTATTTACGAGCAAAGCTTCACAAAGCACGACGAACCGTTCAACTTCTCAATCATGTTCACGGGCGGCCAAACCGTGCAAGTTTTCGGCACTATCAAAAGCGGTCAACCACAACGACGTTCATTTTCAGTTGAATCAAACTATTCCTTTTTAAGTTCTTTCCCCGAGGAATCTTACATTTTAAACATTTCGGCATTTTTCTGTCAATTCAAGCTTCGAGGAATCAAAGCTGAAATTGTTTCATTCGCACGATGCTGGCGCTTGCCACAAATTTCAACTTAACTTTGATTTTTATGATGCGAAATTTGATTGGTTTATGTGTTGTCAGATAAGCGATTTTTTGGCTAGTAGCGATACTACCGCACAGAGCATGTATTGAGTAAAACGTCATTAACCACGAAGTAAATAAATAACATATTCCTTTATTTTGTCATGTTATTGGAAAGAAAAATTATCGTACAGATAAAGATAGCCACGAGGTCTTTGCTAACCCTAGAAAGTTCCTTGTGATTGAAATGAAGAGAACATCATAATCAATCGTGAAAGCGAAATTTATGAACCACTTGGCGTGATAATCATTTCAGTAGTTATAAGACGACTGGAGCCTTAAATATTAGAGATAAAGATACTAGATATTTGAGATAACGAGACTAGATTTAAAACTTCAGATAAAAAGAAACCTTCACCCGACAAAAATATTTATTATGAGGTAAAAAAGAAATTAAATTCTTGTGGGTGTAAATAAACGGTTTCATGTATTATGTCACAATTAAGAGGCAATCTAATACCTTAGGATATTTTCTTCCTACGGCAGAACTGAAATAGCCTCTCAAGTTTTCGAAATCTGCCATTAAACTCAGGAAGAGATGTCAATTAGAAACTGTTCTGTTTTGCTTGATGTGTCTGCCCAAACGCTTGTTTATTTTGTACGCCACATTAGTGACCTGCCGACTCAGCTCACAAGGAAAATGGCGCGGACGACGGAGTTTTCAATTTCTCACACGATTAAGAAATTACAAAAAAATAAAGTCACCCTTGAATTTTTTCAAACCAAAAATTTCATGCAAAGGTGCATGAGAATGAGGACATTTTAGAAAGTTGTCAGAATTTGTACCTTAGGCAAGCCCTTTAACTAGCGGATATCCATTTCCTATCACAGTTATCTACTCCCTTTCATCAACGATCTAAGCCATCGCAGTCAAAGGCAAGAATTTAAGGTCTGCAATAGGCCTTACTACTCACCTTTAGTAGTATGGGCATATAATGAAATCACGAGGAATCTTTGACAACATATGGGGGATCGAGATTTCAGCGGGATCCATCCGGGAAGAATGGCTTTCATGAAAATAATTCTCTTTTTTTTCCTTTTTGGTTTCTTTTTCAATCTATTTATGTATCTTTTTATTCGCGAGGAACACCAGTACTGATTTTTACTGTCGTTGTGAAATTCATGGTGAACGAAAACGAAGTGGTAAATCAAATGACATCATAAGAAAATAAGTGACACGTGAAGAAAAGGGAACGTTTATATAAAACACACAAGGAAACACAAAGGGAAACGAAGGGGTACCTGTACTGACTGCTGAGTACTTTAAATCATGGCATATATTTGTATATCAAATACGTTGAAAAAATATAACTATAATTATTGTGGGTTTGATATTTACCGACTTTATATTTTCAGTAAAAGTGAATTCCAAGAAAATGAGGTGGTTACTGGACTACGAAATTTTTCATTTGGACCAGGTAATACCTTTTTGCCATTTCAAAAGTATTTTGTCGAAAATGATATTACTCTATAAACTATTGGCTGCACTTTGCTCTAGACCATCCATGCGTGTTACATATCAAACTCATGGGGTGCAAATAGTCTTAACGTGTATGTAGTGACCACGCCCACTTTAACACCCCACTCAAGTCGAGTGTAATTGTAATTTTCGAAATGCAGATTCTCTACGGAAAAAGCACTCAATGTACCTCTGAAATATTAAACTATAATACTGTGGCTTTCTATTTCGCTAATTTTCTAACTTGAAGGTAAAGTTTTTCCCTCGTCATTTTTACCTTTTCTCCGAGCGGTTGCGTGAAATTAACAAGGCGTTTTTGATCAAACCACGACCGAGCGAAGGGTCTCGGGCGATATCTCTTTTACGCAGGCGCAATTTAAAAATGTACCGCTAGAATCAAAAAGAGGAACAAATTTCCTTTGTTTTGATATGTAAAGTGTCGAACAAAAAGCAGATTTACCCTCGTAAACAAACAAGTAAGATTTGTGAAGTTCGTTGAAGTATGAAGTCTAAACGAATGCCTTTTTTAAGCTTGTTTGCTGGATTTTTCGTAAACTTCCCTGATTAACTTTTCGTTTCAGCTTACTAATCTATACTAATTCAAAGCAATGCAAAGACGAAGACGGAGAACCATGAGTCGGTCCTTTCAACAATTGTAAACAAAATTTTTGAGCAATCAGGTATACGAGGAGTAATAATCAATAGCCACATATCAGAAGTCTTCAGAAAGAAAATATTCTGTCTTCAGAAAGCTGTCAAGGAAACTAGTAATCGTAGTGGAAGGCAATTAAATGCACTTCTTAGCAAGTTGGAAACGGGCCCTCGGTATCGATTTAATATCATATCGATGTCAATATCATACAGTTTTGTATCTTTCTTCCGTGGATTCGCCTTTCTAACTGGAGTGTATGTTGAGTATTCATTGCAAAATCGTTTTGTTTTTTCTATTTCCCTCTTTGGCCTGTCCGCCATTTTGAAAATACGCAACGAATAGCATGCGCATTACGCGGGGTTAGTAGTTGCGTACACCTGGAACCGAGAAAAACAAATGTTCGTCACACTGGGGAAAGAGTTTGATATGTTAGACTTTTTAACTCAGTACTAAAAGTGGAGCCCGACGATCCCAAAATAATAATAGCATAACATTGTATAATTTTGTGCTTCATCGAAAGGGAATTCTTATTTCCTTTCTTACATTCTCTCGTTCTATTTGCTTGTACTTTTTCGGGTTGTTTGAGCTGTGTTTGCAACAACGCTCCCGATAAATATCATCAACATTTTTTCAGGAATGTAATATGTAGTTCGTGATTTCTAACGAGAGGATTGTTATGTTTTACTCTAACTTAGTTTCAGGCAGAAATAACCAGAGTTTTCAACTTATTAGAATTGCTTTAGTTATTTTACTGGCTTTCTAATATTTAAAGTCTAGTTTTTTACCTGCTGTCTTTGTTTGTTAAGGTTTCTCCAGAAAACTTAATGAGACATGAAGAGCGTGAATTTGAAGCCTTTGAAGTTTTCCGGGATAGAATGTGTGGTTTAATTATTGTGGATGATATATACGAGAGACAATCAGAGGTAAATGAATAGTTATGAATATTTTAAGTTATCGTTCAAAATTTTTCTACAGGTGGCTGACTCTGTAAGCACATGGTGGGTTGACCTATGGTTGATTTATTGTCCAAGACGAGGTGCACGCCCCCGTATTTGGCAGGTTCTGTTACGATTATGCACCTGCCTTTCCTCATCCCGGGGTACACATTGTTAATTATACTATCATAGTCATGGCTATCTGATAACTGTCTCTTCATGTGAAAGCCTCTCCATAATAAAATTGTTTAATAGCAAGCTTAGCAATATATGACAAGCGGCAGTCCTTCGATGAAGTAGATTTGGTAATAGCTTTCACCCAAATAATCGACCTGCCATAGAAAGAGGAGATCATGTCCCTATTTTTTCTTGGCTATGGCTAATCATGCAAATAAGCTCAACGTATTCTAAATAGGCAAAAACCCAGAAAAGTATTTGTCATAGAATCATAATTCATTGTCATTTTGTTATTTAGAAACACATGAGTAACTCTGAAGTCCGTGGAACACTTTGTGCATGTCGGCCTAAATATGACGTGCAAGTTATGGTTGCTAATGGGGTAAATGAACACTTGAAAGAGGATTGCAAGTGCACATCAGAAGTCTATGGATTCCGAAGAGGAAAAACCAATTTTAACAAGATGAAGGTACTATGTGGTGAAGTAAAATAGCTCCCTAATGGATTAATTTTAGAAAAAAATATGTCAACCCTTCTGATCTTGTGGGCTTGAGTTTGTGTAAGGTGCAAAAACTTTGGCTCAAAGAATAAGTGCTCTCTTGACAGTGTCTATGAATCGCTAAAATTCACAATTCGGTCAAAATGCTTATTTTCATTGATAATAATTAAACCATTCTACTGAGAAAATATTCTGTCCATGAATTACGGTGACATTTTTCCAATTTGCATGTAGCGTTTTCAAGGTCATTTTCGCCGGAATTAAGTCAATATAAAAAATAGCACCAAATTTCATTTTTCCGTGTAATTCAATAGCCAAAAAAGACTTTGGGTACGTTGCCATTATACCAGTGCAAAAATGCTCTTGTAGTTGGATTAGATACTTTCACGTGGCTTAACCCTGCATCTTTCGAAATAATTTACAATCTTACTAATGTAGATATTTAAATATCTTAAAACTGTGATATTCAAAAATCTAAAATTATAGTACTCAATACACAATGCGTCGAAGTTCTCTCCTTTATTTATACGCAGCCTATGGCCTTTCAGGATCACAAAGAGGCAGATTGTCCCGCAAATTCAGTCGTTTGTAAGAAATGCAATGAGGACGGCATTCCTAAAGCAAAGGTAACATAGAATAATTTCAATAACTAGATGAATGTAGGTTTTGTTGCGTTCATAATAAAATGAGTTAATTATGATATAACAAATGACATTTACACTCAAAAACATCTCATTTCATAGACCATAAGGTGATAGGCAAATTTTGCTTATACATCCCCCATATTTAATAAAGTAGACAGCGAGGGTGTTGCGGTGAAACTCGTTGAATAAACACGTTCAGTCTCATAATTTGGAAAACTGAGAATTAAGGAGCAACTTTAGCTGTAATTAACAAATAACTTTATAAACAGCCCGTATACTTCTCTATCACATCGATACGCCTCTACAAAAACTAGGATATTGTTTATATGTAGCACTCACTGTTTCACCCGACGCAATTTAAGCATAGTATTAATTTCCCCTTTTGAAATAAAAATAACCATATTTGATATTCAGGGTCTGAGCGAAATAAGTTAAATTTTTCAATTATTTCGGGACATCCTTTTCCATATGCTTTTCTGTAGGAGTGCATGCTGCTTCTAGCACGTGGCGGCGAAAAAAAGTAAAATTTGCTATGGTATCTTAATAGGCGCAAACAGCATTCCCGCCAAAACACATCATCACCTGCGATACACAACTCGTTTGTCACGTTTGACACCACATGAAATTTAACGTGATATCAGTATATGTTAGAAGACGATTTGGTGTGTAATATCGCTGAGCATTTTTTACGGATTGTACCGTATTTTGAGGAGTTAACCATATTGTACCGTATTTTGAGGAGTTTGCATTAACCGATTCGACTTAGAAGCTAAGCGATTCTTTTTTCAAGTTTGAAAAAGCGCTTTTTGAGTTTCATTTATTGAGATGATGGTGAGACATCTCGCATACTTCTTATGGTCTGTCATTTCCAGCCTCTTTAGATCTGACAATCGCTGCTGGTTTTGCGAACGTGACCTAGGGCAGTTCTGGTTAGATCTCAGACACAAAATGAACTAGAGTGCAAGACAAGGACTTTGCAAGTCGCTTTTAAAATGTGCTATGATTTAGAAACCAGAGTCTTTCCTGACTACTTGCTGTTTGTTATTGCTTTATTAAATACAAAATGATTCAAAGTAACAGGTCGATGGTAATGACCAATCGGACTGCGAGGCTGTTATACTTACAAAGCTTTTTTGTTTTTATTCTACCGAAAGTTCTCACAGTTATTTCCAAATCAATGTACAACCATGATGGAATTGAATGGAAATCAGGGACAGCGTCCGTCTAAACGCTGTCCAACTAAGGTAATATGAGTAACGTGGCTGGGTATGTTGACTTACACTTCAATAATAGCTTAATTTCGTGGAGGATAGTGAGTCTTTCTTTCCCGAAATCCACAACGTTTTCCTTACATTCGTCTAGAAATATCCATGCTGATAAACAAACATCACTTTTAGTTAGGGAAATATTTTCTAAGCGCTTTTGTACCTATGCATCTGAAATACAAATATAATCAAATAAACACGTGTTTACGAAAACCCTTTTTGTTCTTCGAGGAAAACGGCGCTTTTTTGCTACTACACATTTTATGCTTCTTTTTGTGGTAGGTCTAGCTTTTTTTTCCATCATAATGTCTGCAAAACGTGGGCAAACGAACGAAAACAAGGCTCAGTCGGACCAATTTAAAACACATATATTTCCAAGAAAGATGAATTGGTGACAAATAATGTATGAAAATGGTGATCAGAATAGTAAATGTCAATCCTTATTTAAGGTAAGCAATCCTTTTTAGGCTGCTACTCTAATCCTTCAGAATCCTTTCCCTCCACTCCTAAGAGGGTAAATGTTTTTTACATGGTGTTAGGCACACCTAGAAGGCAGCGATAGTGATGACGACGAAGATAACCCTGACGAGGATAATGACGATGACAACCATGGTGACAATGATGATGACCCTGATGATAAGGATGATAACAATCGCGATGACTATGAAAATGATACTGATGATGATGACGATGATGACTATAAAGATAATAATGATGATGATGACGATGATGACTATAAAGACGATAATGATGATGACAATGAAGATGATAATGATGATGATGACGATGACGATGATGACCATGAAGGTGATAATGATGATAATGATGGTGATGACAATGAAGGTGATAACGATGGCAATGATGACGACCTGGATCAAGTGATTAAAGGTAAGAATAGAGAAGTGGAGGGTCCACCATTTTCATTTCGAGCGAAAGAACATCTGTTTTTGTTTTCCTATGTTCTGTTTTGTTTCCTTTTTACTTTCATGGTGTAATCTTATCATTAATACACGCTTATTTGACATTTATTAATTTCTTTAATATTTTTTTTTATCTGACAGATTTCCTCTCTAACACTGTTTACGTGCAACACGAACTGTAGGAGGCAAGAGAGGGAAGTCATTGCGAAAACCTCCGCTAAGCCAGAGGATTTGATGATCCTTCAATAAACATAAACAAAAGAAAAACCTGATCGTCCTCTTGATTTTCTTAGCTATACTAAAATTTCACAAACAGTAAAATCGATGGTTACACTGGTTAACAACAGAACTACAGCTCTCTAATGCTCAAGGGTTTCGTTGCCATTATTTGGATGGCGAGAGATGGGGTGAAAGGAAATGAGGGAACGATCGATTCAGTTTGAAAGTTTTCATGTACGTCGTATACTTATTGCTTGCTTCGAATAGCAACGAACTACTTCAGCAAATCAAAAACCACATCTGACAAACGAATACAAGTGTCAAACTCGATCGATAAAGTTTTATTGAAGGGCGAAAAACAAAACCGAATCGAGAAAGCATGGAGAAAGGTGTGGCTATCTAAAAAAATGATTCTTTTAAATTTGTTCATAGTGGGAACAAAGAAACAAAACAGAACAACGACAAGCGATATTAGCCTTTAATTTTTATTACAATCTCATCAGAGACAAAGTAAAGCTGTGTCAAACATCAAACAGTAGGCAGTGCAAGGCATCTGGATCTACATTATTGTCCTAGTGGATTAAGGATCGCTGCAAATGTGTCACACCGAAGGAAGAATTTTATGTATAAACAACAGCCTTAAGTAGATGCGAGATGCTTCTCCGCGAACTAAATTTGTCTGTTTCGGGTAGCAATCTGGAAGCGACGAGGAAGAGGGAAAGTTCATAGATAATGTCATGTGCAGATTTCGGCTTTAAATGAATGCCGTTGAGCTCACTGTTCATATATTCTGAGCAGTGCGAGGGACAAAAAATTCAAAAACAGCTTATTATTGAAAATGATTCTGGTGCGATAAATTTTTCAGTATGATTATAAGCAGGTTTGTCTTTTCAAATATAATAACAAAAGATACTATTTTTTTTAAATTAACAAACGTCGGTTGGAAAAGAAGTGGTTATCACTCAAAGCAAGAGAATGTAAACAGATTACAATATCTTGCTTATACATTAAACACATTTAGCTTACATTCATTTCAATAACCCGTTAGGGCCAGTAGCACTCTGTTACGGATACCAGCCAGAAGGCTCATTTTCATAATTGATTACTGATTAGTTAACTAATTTCAGAATGATCTTAGATACGTACATAGTTACAATGCTTACCTGTTTTTTCTGCATTTCTATTGGTTTTGTAATCGGACCTTTCGGCGTCACCACGCGCATATAAAAGATTAGTTTAGCGTCCCTTTAATCAGTTCCTCTTAAGTTCTTGAGTTGTCTTGACAAACTTTCGCTCTTTCTCGATTTCTTAACCTTTGGCACAAGCGGGACCGATATGTGATTACTTTTGTAACTTTGTTTTTTTTCTAGTTTACCTTTCAGTGTTGGGCGATAATATACGAACAGATATTCCGTTGTATTGTAGTTTTTCGCGATTGATTTAAGATTTAAAGCCAAAATTGTACCAAATGCAAGTGAACGCCCACCATCTAGATAAGAACAATGGGCTGTTATCCAGCCACCTAAAACTCTTGTAATTTGTATCCAAACTTTTGTACATTGTACTGTTTCATTTGCTCTTTGTCATTTTTAATCTCTTTATCGACGTTTAGGCCCAATTCTTTACACGCGATTCTTTGATTATGCATTCCGTGACATTTCATTATATTGATAGAGCTTCGTTGCATTGTTGTTTCAGCCAGATCGATAGATTGATTGATTGTGCAATTGCTCGTGATTTTTCGTCGTTGATTGTGGTTCGTGGTTGATTGCCTTTCAAGAGTAAAAATTCGTGCAAACAGTCAACTTTGGTTCGTCATATTGATCTGTAAATTAGTCCCTAACACCTCTTTAACCGCGTTCGGAGCGGCGCCCCTTGAGACTTGAGACCCAAGACTTTTTGGTCGCCGTAAACGCTACACACTCGAATATTATCATACGATGCATTATAAATTCAGATCAACAAAATTATGCAGGAAAAAAACATTGCAGCTTTGTTTAAAGGTTATAAGTCCCCAGTATCAACAATAACTTTGATAAATATGGTATCGTCCTTTACATAAGCGTGGTTGTTTAACTGTGTCATAGCACAGAAGGTCGGGCACCCACTGGCTATGTTCATATCCCTTTTTGGTCTCTGGAATGAGGAGCTACTCGGATCAGGTCTGAAGGCGTCAACTACGTGTTCTACGTTATCCTGATCTAACAACATAAAGGTGACCTTTTGTCTAAATGGCCAGCGGAGTATTGCGTCATACTCACCGCGCATAACAACAAAGAATATTGGAAAATGTGTTCCCTTTCCGATACCATCACCGTTTAGATAGATGCGCGCGCACATCTTATAACCGTGACGACTAGTATAGAAACAGGGACTATAAGTAGATACGTGTTGGCCGGATCTCGCCTCATTTCGTTTTCGGGTGAAGTCAGTAATTTTCCATAAAAGCACACCATTGTAGCTTGAGAATTGCTCTTGCCTAACGTAATCTTCTAGCTCAGCTATAGCAATGTTTCTAGCATCTAGAGTATGTTCTAGATACTCCGTCCGTCGTTGAAGTTTTCTTATCTCATCGTTAGCAGTTTTAAGCTGAGCCTCCAGTCTTTTTATTTCTCTATTCCTATTTTGCATTTCCGAGTTAAATTCAACCAAAAGAACTTCATAATTGGCTGCCTTAGCATCCTGAATGTCCAGCTTTTGTAGAATATTCACAATTTCAGCTTGCGAAGAGCGATGCGCTGATGAATTTAAAGGAGCACTGTCGGCTACCACGTCATCCATTAAATAACGCTTGATACTTTGTTCAAGATTACTTAAGCGAGTGCCATGTCCTTGAACCATTGATGTTAGGTTAGAATTTTCACCGATTATGACATCTACCTTGTTTTGTAAAGTTTTAAGGATTGAATCCATTTTAGAAATGACTCCGGCGTCAACATCGCCAAGTTTGGAATGAAACAAGTTAGACAATTGGTCCACAAACAGAAAAAGGAGTGTCAAATGATCAGATACTTGTTTATCTTGGTGTTTTCTACGTTCTTTCCTTTTCATTTCCTGCAAATAGACACACCAACTCCCCGTTAGGTCTAGGTGTATAGTTAATATTTTTAAAATGTACACACACTTTCTGATACAAATGATTTTAGTTCGTTTTTGAGAAAGGCTGATTAACGTTAGAGTCGCATCTAGAATTGTGACCGACTTTTTCTTAATAAGAACTTCATCAATCACTCTCTCTCTCTCTCTCTCTCTCTCTCTCTCTCTCTCTCTCTCTCTCTCTCTCTCTCTCTCTCTCTCAATACTCACCCCTTTCTGTTTGCATCCCACTTTATGAAAAGGACACGGAGCTTTAACAGCTTCGCAGTCTCCATTAACAGGATCAAGGTGACTCGAAAGCTGTAATCAAAACGGAACAACAATTCTGTTTATGGTAATCTATAAAAAGATTTTTTATTTTTGAACTTCTTACTTATGAACACTACTGTGGATATCAAATTTTTAAACATTTGTGGGTATTCAGAGACAAGAATGCGACATTTACCGGTTCTGTAAAAAACCTGATCGGAAATCTAATTGAGATGTAGTAAATGATAACAAGTTACGCCTTTGTGTACAAAACAAAAGTTACAGAAGGATTGACTGATAACTTTACCTGCTTTCGTGAAATTTTTTCAGTTTTACACTGCAAACAATCCACAGGGTATTCTAGGCACTCCTTTTCAAGATGTTCCTACAGTTTACAATTAAGAATGTAAATCTGAGTTTGAAATCGACTACTGCTGTGCTAGAAATGCTAATCATTCTAAATATTTGTTATGCGACATGTGGTAGCATTAGCTGGATGCTCCGTGCATCTCACCAATCAGAATTAAATCCTTACTTGTTTGCATATCAAATTCAGAACTAACTTTCATAAACTTGAGATCTTATTTACCAGGAAAGAATCGTTTTTGTTTAATTTTGTTTTTTTGGCCATTCAATCTGCAGTGATTTGATTGAGGAAGTCATGACACCTTGAATGCTATATTTTTATACAATTTCCTACAGTTCTAACAAGAAAATATTGACGTGCATAGAAATTTATCAAATAATCATAAAAAGACCGACCATACCTCAAGCTTATCAGCTGTAGTCTTTATGGAGCAATACCCACACTGCTGCTCTCTGAAGATACAATCCTTCATAAGGTGCCGAGATAAGTCATCTCTCCGAGCAAGAGTTCCGCAACTGGAATGCACACATGGGACCTTGGCATAGGGGCACTGGGCCTCGTGTTTCTAAAATGAATAGTCACGAGTTAGAACTTAGTGTGCATTATGAGCTTCTCGACGTCTGAGCCGGATGCTGACTGACGATGCAAAATCACGAGAACTTTTCTTTCTGTATCTTTCTAGCTAGCTCCATAAGCTCCATAAGATATGTTGGAATTGATGCTAACATACCTCCAACTGCCCTAGTTCCCCACTCCAGTCGCAGCTGTCGCAGTGATTTGCACACTGGACTGGTAACGACAGGATTTCACGCTGCGCAAACTTGTCTTCAAATGTCTGATGGTGGGAGATGAAATTCATTTTAGATTATTTTATATATGTAAACATTATAATTGAGATTGCTATTCTGATTTCTTAGAAAGATGCACCTTTGGTTTCAAAAGGTGGGGTCGACTTGTGAGCCAAGTGGCCTAGTCCACCACGGCTTATCTCGGTCTCCGTAACACGCAAAGATAAAGAATATTATACGTACTCCTTCCGTTCTCCACAGCTGGGAGCTCCCCTCAATCAATTCGTCAAGTTTACCTGACAGTTTAACTTTTAGGTACTCTTCAACCCTTTAAGAGTGTGTCTCTCTAAAAGCGGTCCGATCGATTTTGCTTGAGACACGGAATTCGCTCATTTCTTGTGTGTTGTAAGACATTCATGTACTTATACTAAAACCACAATCCGTTTGATCGGATCTCTTTATTTTTCAGAGTTTTACGGAAATTAAATTTCACTCGAGCGAAGGCTTGTCGTGACACTTTTCAAGACTTTAATTTCAGACAACTTTGGAGGACAGTTTACAAAAAACTACGCAATAGTCACTCTAAGAGTGACTATTGCATCTAATTCCTCATTACAGTATCACAACTGAATCAAACATTTAGGTCATGAGAATAATGGAAATGATCAACAAATACGGGAGCTCTTGCCTGTTAAGCAAAATCTCTTTGTCAGCACCTTAGGTCAAACCTCGGTGGACCGTTCATTGTGGAGCCCGGCGAGCTAACCACTCCTGGTCACCTCTCTATCTGAAAGATAGAGACAGCGAGAGTGAACCTAGTTCACCTATAAGTTCAAGATCACTTCCTTCCTGGCCTGACTTCCGTGTGGGTTTGTAACTCAGTTGGTAGTAGCGCCTGACTAGAGTTTATATTAACTGTAATCTATTGCGCCAAACTAGCACAGGTTCGAATCCCGTCGAAAACTGAATTTCTATTTCATGGTTCCTTTCCTCGATTGCTTTAATTGCAGGTTACTTGCGAAGATCGTTACTTCACCTACCGTTATTAAGTAAGTTTAAGAACATAGCCCCCGATTAGACAGCGGAGCTTAAATGAACTTCATTTTGTTAGAACTGTACAAAAGAAGGATTTGGTAGAATCGGTATCCTCTGCAATAAGCAGTTGTCTAAGTTTTTCGACAGGAATGCTGTTTGTTTCGAGTTTGTCTCACCTCTCCGATCTCTTCGCCATCCACTACACACTTTGGAAATGGCGACCTAAAGACAAGATTTGCTTGTAATGAATATCATATTGACATAAAATCTGATTTCTTGATGCTAGACCCATTAAACGCTGCATTTTTCCATGACCGTGCTATGGGCAAACTTCACTACAAGCCCTAAAATTTCCGCTGATGGGATCTATCTGAGCATTTTAATAAGCACAATAGAGCGATACAGTCATAACAGCATTTATACAAAGAAATGTATTCTGGGGATCAAGGAAAGGAAAAACATTTAGCCAATTCATAAACAATCTTTTCATATATTTATACCTCAACAGTGGCTCCACACATGTCTTGCAATAGCGATGACCGCAGCTCGTCTGAAATGGATCCCTCAGTACCTTTTCACAGTAGGGGCAGAGGTATTTAGCATCAATAGACTTGCCATCCTCGCAAATACAATCACATGTGTAACCAGGCATGATCGATGGATAACTGTGGAACAAATGTCGAATTGAGTTCAGAATTTTGTGTCCTCTTGTCAATATCCTTGGAAAAAATTAAAACGTTGATATTAATGATTTTTCAAATAATACCCCGAACACCGGCAGAATTTTACAGCGCTCGTTGAAGAAGAAAAGCTAAAACTAATTCAATAGAATTAGAATCAATATATTCGCACAACCATAGACCAAGGGAAGATTTAAGTAGATATCATATACCTTAGCTGTCTTTATGACCACGCACTGAAAGAACATAAACATCGTGACACGTTTATAAGTCACGCAGTATTGTGTGACAGACAAGTGTTTGTAATCTACATCTTTGTTTTGTTACCTGCCTCTTCACGCTTACTAATTCGGAATATTTAATGATTCTTGTCTGTTTCAAGTTGTCACGTTGGAAGTCTTGAAGGACTGTTTGTATTCAATGTAAGCGATTGAGTGAACGTAAAAGGTTAAATTAATTTGGCTCTCTGTACGTTATAGCAGCTGAATCTCAACGATAGTAAATAGCACGAAAACGTGCAAAGTACGAATATTAAGTCTTAGCCAATTTTTGTCTGTACTTTCTAGAGTAACTGCCCGTAGATAGGCGGGAAGCTCGAAGAAAAACAGATTTAAAGGTTAAATTCAAAGGCTATTAAGACAAACGCTGAGGGAGTATTTTCCGTTTCCTGCACACTGGGGTTGTTTGGTTAACTCGGATGTGGAAGCCGCTCCACTTGAATTCAGCGGTTTGGTTTCGAGAATAATGTTCACATAGTCGCACGTGATGTGCCAATGCCTGGTCATTACTGACCCGGTGAAAGGATGTCTTCACTATATACGGAAAAGATGCGTGACTTCGCTCGAGCGGGCACGATAACCCCATCTAAAGCCAGCCAATCATAACACAACATTTGTTTTCTATTGGCCAAACCATTGAAATAAGGAATGAACCTTATCAGCTAAGGGAATAATTTTGAAAAGAGGAAATTGGTGTCGCGTGATCTGTGCAGTAGTGGTTCCATATCAAATGCTCGGTAGTTTTATCCAAGAATCATACAAAAGTCACTTTTCACAGTTATTTCCAAATCAATGTACAACCATGATGGAATTGAATGGAAATCAAGGACAGCGTCCGTTGTCTCAGTCTAAACGCTGTCCAACTAAGGTATTATAAGTAACGTAGCTGGGTATGTTAACTCACTCTTCAGTAATAGCTTACTTTCGGTGAGGATAGTGAGTCTTCCTTTCCCGAAATCCACAACGTTTTCCATACATTCGTCTAGAAATATTCATGCTGATAAACAAACATAACTTTTAGTCAGGGGAATATTTTCTTAGCGCTTTTGTATATATGCATCTGAAATATAAATATAATCAAACAAACACGTGTTCACGAAAACCCTTTTTGTTCTTCGGGGAAAAGGGTGCTTTTCTGCTACTACACATTTTATGCTTCTTTTTATGGTAAGTCTAGTTTTTTTTTTATTATAATGTCTGCAAAACGTGGGCAAGCGAATTAAAACAAGGCTCAGAATACACACTGTCAAACCACTTTAAAACACATCTATTTCCGAGAAAGATGAATTGGTGACAAATGTATGAAAAAGGTGATCAGAATAATAAATGTAAATCGATATTTAAGGTAAGCAACCCTGTTTAGGCTGCTACTTTAATCCTTCAGAATCCTTTCCCTCCACTAAGAAGGTAAATGTTTTTTACACGGTGTTAGGCACACCTAGACGGCAGCGATAGTGATGACGACGATGATAACCCTAACGAGGATAATGACGATGACAACCATGGTGACAATGATGAAGACCCTGATGATGAGGATGATGACCATGGTGATGACTATGAAGATGATGATGATGATGACGACGACGTAGATGACTATAAAGATGATAATGATGATGATGACAATGAAGATGATAATGATGATGATGACGATGATGACCATGAAGGTGATAATGATGATAATAATGGTGATGACAATGAAGGTGATAACGATGACGATGATGACGACCTGGATCAAGTGATTAAAGGTGAGAATAGAGAAGAGGAGGGTCCATCATTTTCATTTCGATCGAAAGAACTTCTGTTTGTTTTTGTTTTCCTATGCTCTGTTTTGTTTCCTTTTTACTTTCATGGTGTAATCTCATCATTAATATACACTTATTTGACATTTATTAATTTATCTAATCATTTTTTTTATCTGACAGATTTCCTCTCTAACACTGTTTACGTGCAATACGAACTGTAGGAGCTAAGCCAAAGGATTTGATGATCCTTCAATAAACATAAACTAGAGAAAGTCCTGATCGTCCTCTTGATTTTCTTAGTTATACTGAAATGTCACAAACAGTAAAATCGATGGTTACACTAGTTCACAATACAACTACAGCTCTCTAATGCTCGAGGGTTTCTTTGCCGTTATTTAGATGGCGAGAGACGGGCTGAAAGGGAATGAGGGAACGATCGATTCAGTTTGAAAGTTTTCATTTAAGTCGTACTTAATGCTTGCTTCGAATAGCAACGAACTACTTCGGCAAATCAAA